TTAATGTTGCAGAAACAAAAATAATGACTACTGAAAAAGGAGGCAATTGAGAAATCAACTAAATTACAAGAAAATAACAGGCAATAGCTTCTTTGCATGTTAGTATCAATTCCATTCTTCAACTTTAGGAAGTTATACACTGTGGCACGTCAGCATAACTAGATTTTTGTTAAAAAAATGAGGGAAAAAAGTTTGGCAAATCATATTTACAACATACATCTTGCCACGCAATACTTCTCTAACACGATCTTTCATAAAACAATAAAACCTCCCAAAAAAAAAAGTCATGCAGTCTACGGAGATCTCACAGTGGGACGAAATCTCTTTCCTTCAACGCCCATTTTAAAAAAATACTCCGCTGCAGAGGCAAGCTTCGGAACCTGTAAGAGATTAAAAAAGTAATAATTAAAAATAATAATAATAATAATAATGTGGCAACTTCACCATCATCACATGTGGGAAGACATTTGAAGTACATGCGAGAAATACCTCTGCAACTACCATCGACCTTAAGCGGTTAGCAAGAATAGACAGCTCATCGGCAACAAGAGAAAAAGGATCTACTTGTTCCTGTCAAAAAAACGAGAGGGGTTGAGGTACTCTTAAAGCTTACTAACATATAAGAAACAAATGAAAATACGCGCAATTACAAGAGGATTCTCAGTCAGCAATTAACATATGTCAAAAAATAGGCAATTTTGTATAACAGAAGTGAACAACTAGATAAGCAGTTGAATTCACCTCAAGTGCAGAGCTGCTCTGAATTTGAGCATGTTGTCCAACACTACTTATTGCATTTGAAACCCAAGTGTAAATACCTCTGCAACCTACTGATCACCAGTACAATACAACAGGAAATCAAATAAATTGCATGAAACACAAGTAAATGCTACAAAATGCAGTAGAGTATATGACAACGGCGAAAACTGACGACATTATACAATTTAAGACAACAAATGCAAAAACTGTGCCTGTGGCAACTCAAGAAACATAAAACAGAGTTAAAAGCGGTGTCCTCTATAACATTCATCATACAGTAGTGCCCTAATTATATGTGAAAAAAGAAAAAATGAGGAACAGTATAAATGCTGTTCTATTTATCATTTGATCTCATATCACACGCAAAACATCAAAACATAAATCACACTGCCCCCAAAGTTTTAATAACCTATAATTTGATGTATCTAATGGTATCAAGATCTATATGGCATTTCAAATTACAGGGACATGATCTCTCAAGGTCACCACATAACTCCCCAAACAGCAAGAAGTTATTATTCTCTACTTTTTGTAATGTTGGCTAGCAAATCCTAGTAAAGAGAGTATCAAAGTCTAAAATAGAAAGCAATACGAGTTTACTTCTCCACAATACCGCACGCACAATTATAACAACTTTAATTACAACCCACTAAACAATAAAATAAAATCAGCCAACATAACCCTTCAACAAAAGGGCAAAAATGAAGGAAAACATGAAATCTCAAGGCTTCCAAACTCCACAATACAATCACAATCACAAGTACAATCAACTTCGGATGTATAAAAAAAACTAATCAAAACTCCACAAAAAAAAAAGCTCCAATTAATTCACCTCTTGGGAAGATTGAACTGTCGACCGAAAGTGATTTGATTGCTCGATCAATTGCGGGCTGTTACTGTTGACACCGCCGACCGACAAAGCGTAGACCCATCGACCACGAGCGTAACGCGACCTCGATATCCGAGCCAGTCCCCTCGCAACAAACATTTCCTATGCACGCAGATTGTCTGGGCAAAAATCGCGCAGCTGAAATTCGACCTGGGTTTCTTGAATTGGGGGTCAGAAGAAAATCAATGTAAAAACTAAGAACAAATAACTGGGCTTATGAAAAAAACAACAAATATTCAAGCTTTTAGTTATGGGCGATGAGGAAATTGTTCATGCCGACATTAATG